ACCCATCAAGGAAATATGTAACGGTGCCGAACGATCATCACACGTCTTAGGTCTTAAGTGGGACCATGTGAAAGACACATTGGTTGTTAGCAGAGGCGTGGATCGTCCTCTCGATAAAGCAATAACTCAACGAACCGTCTTGAGTTTCGTCTCTTCTGTGTTTGACCCTGTTGGGTTAGTAGCTCCATACACAGTTAGGGCCCGTCTTTTACTGAAAGATATTTGGAAAATCAGTGGTCAAAGTTGGGACGACGAATTGCCAGAAGACATAAGAGATAAGTTTCTCGAGTGGCACTCCGGTCTCCCTCTCTTAGGGCAATTGACTATTCCCCGTTGTTACTTCACAGAGCCTGTTGATCAAATTGAGCTCCACATGTTCGGTGATAGCTCGCAGGACGTTTTCTGTGCTGTTGGTTTTTTGCGTGCGCGACTCGCGAGCTCGCATAAAACTCAAATATCCTTCATCTTTGGTAAAGCTCGCGTTGCGCCCATGAAAGCGCTATCGATACCGAAGCTAGAGCTTCAAGCTGCTCTGCTCGCCACACGACTAAAAGATGATATACTGACCGCCCTTACCGTCTCTATTAATCATGTCTTTATGTGGACAGATAGTACAACAGTTTTGCAGTGGCTAAACTCCACTGAAAAATTACCTGTATTCGTCGCTAATCGTGTCGGCGAAATCCTCGAGTCGACCACTATTGATGAGTGGCACCATGTTCTGAGCGGCGATAATCCAGCTGATACCGGTACGCGGGGGATTTCTTCGGAAGCCCTCAAGGATAGCAGCTGGGTTATTGGTCCGAGCATTCTCAGGACTACTGATTGGCCGTTTTTACCCGACGAACGTGTAATCAATAAAATTCGTTTGAAGGGTCCTTCTTGTGATGTTGATAATTGCTTGGAGACATCATCTTCCTTCGTCACCGATGTCACATCAATAAAACATCCCGAACACGGGTTCAATTGGGAAAGGTTTAGTTCCTTTACAAGATATAAACGAGTAGTCGCTTTTATGTTGAGGGTGTTGCCTTCACATAAGCATTTTCGTGGTAAAGACTTACGAATCACCGACCCCACTGAACTTGATATTGCAGAAAGCAAACTGATTCATCTTGCTCAGATGGAATCCTTTCCCGTTGAGTTAAAAACACTCACCGCTGGCAAACCTATTAAGAATAGTAGTAAAATTGCCACATACTCGCCATTTATCGGTCCCGCTGGAATCATTCGTTCCACCGGACGGATTGTGCGCTTAGTGGATACCGAGTTTGATACTAAGCACCCAATAATACTCGACGCCCGACATACCTTAGTTCGTTTGTTGGCCCGCAGCCTCCACCATAAGCATTTTCATCAAGGATTAGATTACATGCGCTCCGTTTTAAATATGAAATTTGCAATACTTGGGTTGCGTCGACTACTTCGGTCTGTCGAAAATCAATGTGTGACATGCCGTAAACGCAAAGCAAGCACCATCCAGCCAATTATGTCCGATTTACCGGTCGAACGTCTCGGATACAAGCAACCACCCTTCAATCATACGGGTGTGGATTACTTTGGACCGCTTTACGTTCCGGTTCGCAGAAGCACGGAAAAAAGATGGGGATTTCTTTTTACTTGCCTCACTACCAGGGCTGTACACCTTGAGATTGTACCGTCTCTGGACACCAGTTCGTGTGTCATGGGCATTGAACGGTTCGTTGCGCGCCGTGGTACGCCAAGCACAATCTGGTCGGATAATGGCACGAACTTCGTTGGTGCGGAAAAGGAATTACTTGCCTGCATCAAGAGCTGGAATGGCATGGCTCCGACCATTTTTGCACACAAAGGTGTTACTTGGAAGTTTAACCCGCCAGGCGCACCCCATCATGGCGGCTCCTGGGAACGCCTCGTCCGAAGCGTGAAGCGCGTGCTGTACGATATCCTAGGCAGTAGGCGAGTCACTGAAGAGGTGTTAGGAACAACACTCTGCTTAGTTGAACAGGCTTTGAATTCGAGGCCAATCACTCCCGTTAGTACCGATTCACGTGAGTTAGAAGCGTTAACCCCAAACCATTTTTTGCTTGGACAACATGCCACAAGCTTTCCTTCGCTTTTACCCGGGGAGCACTTCGATCACAAGAAAAGGTACGTGCGAGCGCAGTCATATGCTAACGCGATTTGGTCTCGTTGGCTTCGAGAATATGTTCCCTCGCTGAATAAGCGTGTCAAGTGGCACACTCATTCTGACTTTACTCTTAAAACAGGCGATCTCGTGTGGGTGATTGAGCCCGATAGTCCGCGTGGGTACTACCCTCTCGCCCGAATCGTCAAGCTAAACTACGGACAGGACGGTTGCGCCCGATCCGCCCTTGTCAGGACCGCAACCCGTGAAGTCACGCGGCCGACCGTTAAGCTCGCTCCGGTTCTTCCTTCTTCAGGGGGGGAGGATGTTGCAATGCAAATGTAGAGTATAGAATGTAGAGTATAGATGCATATAAAACTGAACTAAAATGTAACAACAATAAGCACAGTTGGCCGAGCGGCCTAGAGACAAGTCTCTCACGCCGGTCAACCGGGTTCGAGTCCCCCCATATGCAGACCTTAAAACATGTAGACCCGAGGGGCTATAGCCCCATTTGACCGTTTTTTACTGTTTTTTGGTTCTAATTCGGTTCAGCCTTGATTAAGGTTGACCGCCAAAAAGAGCAATTTGTCTCAAGGACATTACCGACCGGTTCTTGTGGCTAGCTTGCGCCGTTTTGTACCAAAAACGGACAGATGAAAAAAATGTTGTATGATGTCCTGATCAATAGAAAAATACCGAAATTTATCTATTGCCTGAGTTATTTACCGATAAATATCTCTTATTAATTTACGAATTTGGATGCAATTATTTTCGTTTGGAGATTAGCGAGCATAAGCTATACTAATGATACTAGAATCAGTCATAGCTACGTTTGGCACAAATTTAGGTATATGGAAATGATTTGAGTCCAATATCTTCCTCTAATATCTACCCAAAGAAAACTCTAGTCTGACTTCAGAAATGCGCGGCCTTATCAAATTATTCCTTACTCTAAAATTTGATCTAATAATTTCGGTTGTTATCTAGGTTGGCAATTAACTGGACAATTTTTGGACAATTTTGGAACAATTTTGACTGGGAACCAAATGTCTTGGACACTTTTTGAATTTCGGAAAATTTTGTTCGGGACATAAATGTCTTGGACACAATTGTTTGGACACAAAAAATATCGTATTGCATAAATTAGTGTTTTGGCTTTTCTTTCAAAACTGTGAGTGAATGTTTGTTAACATTTTTTGTTCCGACTTTAGTAAAGAAAGTAACAAAATATTTGTGATCGGGTGGATTTTTTTTTCTTCAGAAAAATTTCAAATTTTTAACAAGCCATTTTTGACGGAATTTTTTTATCATTCAAAAAGTATTGTTGTCTTGAGCTTAAATTTGAAAAATTATTTTACCTGTGATCATTTTTCGTAAAGTTATAGTGGCTTGAAGATTTCCATTATGGCCAATTTGGGATAGTTAAGGCGCAACATATTTTGCGCTATTAACGCGTAAGTGGAGATTTAATCCATATTAAAATTATTTTGATAATTTCAAAATAATTTCATTTTATTTTAATATATTTAATTTTTTTATTTAACTACTGCTCCATAAACGGCAGTCGGAACTTTCAGGGCTTCACCTTGATACTAGCAGTCTTGTTTTTTTTGGGTTGTTTTCTTTTGATTAAAATTCCATCCGAGAAAAAAATGTAAGCTTCAATTTTATTAACCTAAAAATACAGCATATTGAAAATAAACACTAGAGCTTATTCACAAATTTTTGAACACAAATTTTGAACATAATCTCATGATTGATTTTTTCGCGGTATCTCAAAACCATTTTACTAATTTAACCATTTTGATCTGGGGAACTATAAATGAAGCTTGATTGTTTCTTTAAAAATTCAGTGGTTTGAAATCAGAGGCGGATGTATGATTTTATCGAGGTGGGAGGGCATTTTCAAGAACCTTTCGAAATATTTGTCAAACTTTTTAGGTTGACCCATTTCATAATTGAGAATTCTTGCACAATATTATGAAAAGCCTGCACCATAATTGGTGTTTTTTGGCGCCTGCTTCCCGATTATCATAAACGCCTTTAGAAAACTATGAAGGTTTGTCGAAAAAATGGTTGGCCCTTTGTCGATGTTTGGTTGGCCCTTTGGTTGGGCAGGGGTTAATTCATCCTACTTCCCCTCCCATAAATCCACCCCTGAGGGTAGCTATCAGAAAACAAACTGCAAAACATCCGCAAAAAAAATTCGAAAATTTTTGTAGAAATAATTTTGAGCAGAAATAGTTTGCCCTTTTCTCGATTAGTAATTGATGTACTTAATAATATTAAGATCCTGGACATGACTTCATAGATGTTTCTTTCTATTTTCCCTAAAATTCAGTACTTGTTATTTTGTCTATGAGCCAGGAGTAGGGTAAAAATGAGTACGCATTCATACATAGGCACAAATTTTATAGAAACAGGAACATAAAAAAGATATTATGCCATTGAAAAAATCTCGGCCACACGTTTTGGATATGCAACACAACAACGTGAATCAGGTCAAAAACCATGGCTTTTTCGACTGTTATTTAATGCCTTTGAGTAAGTTTTGCTTAAGCAAATTCAGAAAAATTTCAAAAAAAAAACTTTTTCATGAACTGCAACACCCACAAAAAATTTAAAGTAAAGAAGATAAATGAGCCTAGCAACACACTATTTAATTAATGAGCTTACTAAAACTCAGGGGCCTTCATCGAGATTTTTGTCCTCAAAAACTGGTGTTAAATAATTGAAACACGATAGCCGATCACCTCAACGAGTTAAAATAGGATCTGCTTGATGGGATTTAATTAAATTGGATTTATGGGATCTCGTTAACTTTCAATGTTCTATTCAGAGCATACATCTTCTGAAACAAGATGGCTGGTTTTTTATTGGAACCACTAACCCTCAATGTCGTCAGAGGTGATACACTCCAATTCATTCAATCTGCTCTTCAAAGTATTCATCCTCTGCCTCCAGTCATCCTCAAACGGCTTCTCGACTTCTATCAACACCATCGCACTCAGAGTCATGAACATGCAGTACATCACCACGAGCACCACAAATAACATGAAGTTTCGCACGCCCGAATGCATCATGCTAGGAAAGTGACAAATGCACTCTGATTCTCACGCTAGATTGCACGGATGCTAAGAAGTCAGCGTGAAATCACAGTGGTAATTTTTTTTTGTAATCCGAATCTTGTTTGATGGAAGTTTATTGTCGCTGGCGTTGTGATGCGGAAACAAATCGGGTAGATCTAAAAACTTACAAGTAGTTTAACGTAATTTGAAGCTGAAGGTAAATGCCAGCCTTATGAGAACTCAAAACTCAATAGTTATATTTTTTAAACAAAAAAACTCCTCTTTTTGGTCACAGTTGTTTGAGTTGAGACAAACTTTGATGGTTTTGGCAGTTTTGAGGCAACGTCTTCAAATAATTTAAGGTCAACTTTTTCGAGTGGAAAAGACCGTGCAACTGCTGTTTTTAATCTGAATTTCCATCTATAGACTACAGACAACGTACCGGATCGAGTTATTCGTGCGTGTCTGGCAATTGTTTTCAATTGAAAAACTTTAAATTGTCTTCAATTTGATAAATATAGGAGCATTGAATGTTTCAATTCTAAGATTCAATTTAGTTGACAATAAAACTGAGCCAAAGTCGAGATATGAATAAGGTCACAAGTGTAACAAAGAGTAAGGTTATAAGACTTTGTGACCATAAAGAAAATCTAAGGATTCAAAATCAAGTTATTCGACAGTTTCTCACATTGTAATCAGATGTAGCGGTTGCAAAATAAAACTTCAATATCTTTGGTCGTTGAGTTTCTAGCTATTAAAATCGGCGAGATCACCAAATGCTCTGAGAAATGCAAACCACCAATTCTAAACCAGGTTAAAAAAATTAACTATAGACAACATAAACTATATGAAACAAAAGTTAACAAATACAAAATGTAAAACTTGGTTTCATTTCTAAAATAAGATAGTTTTGAAGCTTTCAAAAAGTTTAATTACTGCTGATAACTGCATCAAGGATTTAAAGAAAAAAATGTCCGCATAAAAACTGAAAAACTGGCCTTTTAAATTTGATATTAAAAATTCTGCACTGTGGAATTAGTGGGTGGTAACAGATTTCGATTTTATTACGCAGAGAACTTTTTCAACAGACGTGCCAAAAATGGCTGCGAAAACTGAGTTAAACTGAAATGGAGCTTCAAACTGATATCCGATTCAATTTAACTTCTCCTTTCTTCTTCCTTGGTTCAAATTGTAACTCAACCGACATCAGTTTCAAAGGAAAGCCAAAATGCTAATCCAGTTGAATAAATTTGAGATTATTTAAACTATGTCCGTCAGCTATCCAAATAAATTACTTTTTTGGGGGGACTTTTCCAAGTAATTCTGTTTTTATTAATAAATCAGAAAATTAAATAAAAATTGTTGTTTGAAATGAAAATGGACTTATTGGTCGTCTTTTTTTAAAAAATCGAGGCATGTAACAAGTTTAAATGTCACTGCGTAGGCTGAAGATAATTCAGAAAAATGAAATCGAGGACCATCGATGAAGAATTTAAAGGCTGAAACTGAAAAGTTTCAAAGGAAAACAAAACGAGTATTTTTTATTTTCAACACAATGCCATCAATGAAATTCTTTCACATATGGTGTTTAGCATGGCGTTAACTTGAGGCAATATGTTAGTTCTGTTCTGTTCATCATTTTAATTAAAACAAACCGCCGCTTTCTAACTTCAATAAACGGTTTTTGTATTCAGTTTTTTTCTAAAATAAAAGAGTGAGACGAAGTCTTATATAAAAAATGGAAAATTTTCAAAGATTGAAACTAAATTTCAAAGTGACATTTAAAATTTCTCCAAAGTTCAACTTTTCTGAACTCTTCTTCCATAGCGATATACGAAATATGAGAAAAAAAATTGTTTTATCCCCTAAATTATCATTATGGTAAGTCTTTGTGGCCTCCTACTACTTAATGACAAAGCGCATTCCGTCACATCATAATCTCAGTTTCACGTAACTCATTCAACCCCATTTGGTGTCCTTATTTAACCGTCCTAAAACATTTTGTCAGTTTTTGTATTATTATATGTTAAAAGAATGAATCATGGACGCAACTTCAAACTATTCCATATTAAGTTATCCATTATAAATGGCAACACAGGGACCGGCCTATTGAAACAAGGGATCAAATTCAGATTCAAATTCAGATTTAAGGGTAGAAAATACTAAACTTTCTTAAAATAAATTTTGAGTCTATCCCAAATGATTTCAATTTGCAGTTTCCTTTAATGAAAACTTTTGAATACTTTAAAATATATTCAAATGACTAACAGTGCTCAAGAGTGCCTAAGTACAAGGATACCGAAAACAAAAAACGCTTCAGAATGCCAAAGAAAAGCCGTTTTGGAACTACTTTGCTTTGTTTTAAATTTCTAATGGGTTCAACTCGGATATGCTTGAATTTCAAAACACAAGCTGCGAGAAATATTTGTTAATTTCTGGATTAATCGTCTAGTTTTAAAAACTTATGATTTAGGAGAGCTGTCTGTTTGTTTTTTATTGATGCCAGCAACAATTACGAGGTTTTCTAGCTTTTTTTTGCTTTTTTGCAACTTATTTTGTACAGTTTTTATGTTCGTCCTAGTACAAGCTTGTTTGAAAAAACATCATCGGCATTCTTGACCAATTTTTGAAGAAAATGACGGAAAGTTTGTGCCTCAGGCAGGGGCTGATCTAAGGTTTTCTCGAGGGGGGGGGGGGGGGGGGGGGGCGGATTTTCAAAAAGATTTCGAAAATTTGGTCGACCTTTTTTTAGGTCGAGCAAATTGATTAAAACACTAAAAAGACCTTGTTTTGGTCAGCGCCGCAAGCAAAATTTTTAAAAACAGGCCAAAAAAGGCGTTTTTTGGGCACTTTTTGGAAAATTTTGACCAAAAGTCGCGTTTTTTGGCGCGAGCTCGACCCTCAAAATAAGTATATCTTGGCACCGAAGGTGCCTTTGGAAAACTTCTAGGGTCCGTCACTAAAAATGGATGTCTCAAAATAGAACAAAAGGGGACCGCTTGGGTCGGCAGAGGGTCAAATCCCTGAGGGGATAAAATTAGACTTTTTAAGCAGCCACTTTTAGCAGAATTTAATTATAGCATCTGAAAAATATTGATATCCAAAGCTCAGAATGAAAAAATGCCTGCGGCAATTTGGTTTGAAGTTAAAGATAATTGAATCTGGGACAATTTTCAACGCTTTATTTTGGCTTGTGATAAACAACACACAACAATATATTTTTGTTCTATCACTCCAAATTTCATTTGTTCAGTCTGCTTTTACTGAAAGGGTAGCAGTTTGCTCTCATTAAAACAACTCCAGACGCAAAATAAATTGTTTTACTTTTCATAACGTTTGCACTGATTAAGAAACAAAATAGACAGAAAAGTTTAAACATTTTTCATCTTTTTTGCACAGTTATCATGACTTTTTTTCTGAGCAAAAAACTTTTCGTCGACCGTCGTTAAAAATCAGTTAAAACATTCAGGGTTTTACCCTTATTTTAACATTCTGTATTATAATGCACCAAATTGCATAGAATTTTCATCGCTTTTCTAAAATGTTAAGATTCCATGGTTGATTCAACATAAATTCCGATCAGTGTGAGGCAACTATAATTTCTCGCGCGTCGTCTGACATTTTAAACAAAAACTAAAATTCAGAAAAATCAATATATGCTTCAAACACTGATTCATTTGCACTCTAACACTCGTGCCAAAAATATAGAGCGGCGCAAGCTTTACATAAATTTAGTATCACATTCTTGATCAAAAGTGGCCATAACATCAATCCAAAAATATATAATGTTCCGAAAAAAGACAGTATTTTCGTGCTTGAGGTGGTTTTTTCCAGGAAAATTCGTAGTATTCATTGGCCATTAAATATCCATTCTTGAATTTTTTATATCATCTTCCAAAAATATAAGTTCCAAGCTCAAAGTCGAAAAGACATTGCACCAGAGACTAATAGTTACTGGAGATAAAGGATGGAGTTAATTTGTCCACTATAACTCAAAATGAATGTCCTGAATGTTCCGACTGCCTTTTAACATCTATGGAGCAGTAATGACATGAAAAATTTCAATGTAATAAAGCAAAGTTAAAACTTTTTTAAAAAAAAAAATTGAGATTTTTTTGAAAAACATCCCCCCAAACGCCAAATTAAGTACAAAGTGATAGATTTTGCTTCTATTAACAAATCAATTATAGCATATAAGCTTCCTTGGCCCAGTTTTGAACGATTTTCTAAGACGGATTAAATCTCCGCTTACGCGTTAAAAGCGCGAAATATATCGCTCGTTAATTGTGCCAAACTGGCCAAAAGGGCAATCTTTAAACCACCATAACTCTCCAAAAAATGATCACAGGTGAAAAATCTTTTCAAGTGTTAGATCAGGACAACACAAGTTTTTGATAGATATAAAAAAAACTTCGTGAAAATGGGGCAGTTAAAAAGTCGAAATTGGTCTGAACAAAAAAAACCCACCCGAGCACAAATATTCCGTTACTTTCGTTAGGAAAATCGGAACAAAAAAGCAAGCTATTTATTTGCTCAAATTAAAACGGTGCAGACGCGATAATATCTCATTGTCGAATTTTTACGAAAAATAAAAAAGAAAGAATTGAAAATTAGGAGAAATGAAACTTTTTTTAAACCAAAAATAACGTCATCAACGTTAGTTATAAGAATGAAAGCTTTGCGCTGATACGAGTAGTTTTGTTATAGTTAACCTATTTTCGAACCTATTCAACTCAATGAAAAATTTTCAGCTAGTTAGAATTATTACAAATGTCTATTGGTTGAATGTTTTAAGCATAAAACAAAAAAATATATCAGAAAAAAAACTTCATAAATCGGTGTCCCTAAGAAAGTAACTCCTTTCTAATGCGTCTTCATGCGGCAATTTTTGAAAATTTGTGCACTTGCATATTTTATAATTGGTCAGTTAAATTTTTAGTAGCTGGTACTTACAGCTTACTTTAAGATTTTAAAATGTATTGAAAAATTTACTTCCTTCATTCTGATTGGCTAATAGTATCTTTCAAACATTCTGACTCTCCGTCATACGCAGGCGCCGGATTTTAGTTAAATAATTATTTTTCGTTTTTAAACAACTATTTCTGAGAACACGGAGGAAATAAATTAATCATAGAGATGCGCTTTATTTTAACTAATTCTGTTGAAGTTCTCCAGAAAACCGGCAGTTTTTCAAAAATTATTCGCCAACATTGATCTTTTCACTAAAACCTCTGACCACACGAAGACGGAGTTGATTAGATGCTGTAAATTCTAAAATTAAAATTTGAAAATATCTCGTTAAATGAAGATCTCCGTTTTTTTTCAGACTCGCTACTTTTTTTATACCGAAAATTCGTTGAAAAAGATTTTTTTTTGCTTTTAGCGGGAGTGTTATTTAACTTTTCTTCAACTAACTCGATGGTTTTTAAGCAAATATTTAGTTAACTAAAACAATTTTTATACTTAACTAAAATCCGGGGCCTGGTCGTAAGAAAGGACTTTAGCGTAATGCAGACAAAGATTCTTTCAATTAAAAACTTTTGATAGTACCATTTGGGATCATCATTTTAAATTTCGATCTCTAGTTATCGACGTCCTTAAACAGCTGGTCGTAAATTTCTCATGATGCATTTAATGATAGTCAATATAGCCGCACATTGAAACCCTCATAATTTTCCGCAATAGATTTTTTTATTTTGCGCATCCCGCATTAATAGCTTTTGGATTGAAGATTAAAAAACCTGTCCAATTCTGCTTCCTGTCCAAAAATTTCTGGATAAAAATTTCTTATACAAATGTCCTATCACGTTCTTCGAAAGTCGGAATACACGATAATGTCATTGTTTACTCAAACTGTTCGTTAAAAAAATTGAAATTGAGAAAAAAGTTAGAAGCAATAACTTAGTTTTGTGGAAAAACAATTTACATGAAGCGGCTACTAAAAATAGCTAAGATCATTTGCTCAACCTATCGGGATCAACATTAAAAATGAGGAGATAGACCGTTTATCAGAAAACTGAACTAAGGACATTAACCAGACAATGACAGTACTTGTCGCAATTGGGAACAATCATCTCGAAACGTTGAGGAAAATGTGCGATCATTCTTTCAGAAGAGCAATTTTGATCAGCGGCAAACACATTTTACCTCAAACTACATAGGTTTATTTAACTGATCTGATCCAATAAAAGCTTAAAAATTAGGTTTCTGGCTGAAAAAATGGCATCTCAGTATATTACGAACTGTGCAGGCCAAAAAAAATTTCCTAATTATTGTTCAACAACTGAACCGACAACTTTAGCGCAATTTTATTGCCTAATAAGGGCCCAAACAAACACGGTAAATGTTTTTTGTATCCATCACTATGAACAGTTCAATGAAAACAAATTGAGAAAATTAATTACTGGCGTTAAACAAGCTTTTAGTATTTTCTGTGCGTTCATTTAGCCACCAGCACATTGTTAGACGACAATTGATTGGAAACAAAAAATGCTTAAAAATGTTGTCATAAAAAAAATTGATCGATTAAAAAGTTTGAATTTCAACTTTTAGACTATCAACTGACCTGATTTGTTCAAAAGAACAACAATCATTTTTTATACTTAAACCGTTGCAATTTAGGCCCACTAAGCCGAAAAAACTTGAGCCGAAACTATTGAGCCGAACCAAATTTCACAAAGAAAAACTGACCAAACAATGAAAAATATAACAGTCAAGGATAGTAAATTTAAAAAACTACAGGATTTACCCAACGACACCTGAGACTGCAATTAAAACTGTTTAAAGCGCAAAACTTGGTGATGTGGCAGTTAAGCCGACAAAACAAAAACAGAAAGACTGTAGTTCGATTATTAAATTTTTCCCGGAGAAAAATCAAATTCAGACGCTGAAAAAAAAAACAATGTCCGGCCCGGTCTAAAAACCCAGACCATAAGGTGCAAAGGCAACTGCAATACCTCCAGACTAAGATAGAAGAGGCCTTGCAAATGCTAAGAATCGATAATGAAGCAACATCAATTTCAGTTACACATGTGTAAGAAAATTTGTTTGTGGGACAAATTCAAGTTTCCGATTACAAGACACTGCTTTCGCAATTATAAAAAGGTTTACTCCTCCATTTTTTTTTGTACGGATAATTGTATTTAAACAAAGGAAAATAAAGACAAATTTTTTAAATTTTTTTGCTCAAGATTGAAAACAAGTTTCAAAAGCAATTCGTTAGATAAGTTTTCAGATATAATTTTGTCTGTAAGACTTTCCGCGTAAGGCAATCAAATTTTCATGAAAATTTGCCATTTTCCTGAAACATTGTACAGGCAAATAACCTTTTTTAAAATTCAAATTTTAATTAGGACACTGTAGCTTATGTTTTTACACATTTTTTCTGCTGTCATCAACATCATTTTCGGCCATACTGAACAAAGACCGGAAGTTCATTTCGAAACTGCTTAGAAACTTTAAGTCTAATATTATTCACTTTCTATCGCAAATAGGGCCCGCCGTCCTGATGAGAAAGAAATTGAATGAAATTTGCAACACAAAAAACTAACTGAAAAACTATGCCTCATTCAAAGCAACTGTTTTTCGCAATGCTGCGCCAAGCCTTGTTATCAGGTTTTGTAAGAATGATTTCATAGAACTCGCAGGAAATCTCTACCTACAGTTTCATCCTTGTAGTATTAGTGAAATACAAAAAAGCTAAACTGGTTGATAATATATCCAATTTTGCGTTTTTCCAGGGAAGTTCAAGAACTTGACCCCTCCCCTTCTATGGTTTGACACCATCACTAACAAATTTGGCAAATCGACCTGAAATTTTTCTGAAGACGTCTTTGGCAAAAAGTCAATTTTCTGGTCAAAATTTCCCAAAAGCTTTTTCATAATTCATTTGGGTTGGTACAGTTGGTAAAATAGGTTCAACTGTGTTTTGTGAGACCACGGTAAATCATTTTGGACGGCCGAAAAATAGTCGGTTAAATTTCAGTAAATTTCCAGTTTATTAGAAAAATCTGCTTCTGATTAAGACTTTTTCCGAGAAAATTAACAGTACCCAAACCAAAGCAATAAAAGGGCAAAACGTAGCTCTGAAGAAGTGCAAAAAAAGCGGGAAAAACAGATTTTAGCCACCAATATAGCAGATACAACAGTTGATATTTAATTGACATTGCTACAACAGAAAAAGTGCCACCAAATGAGCAGATCTATTCACAAGTTGGGTTGGAAAAAGAGAGCTTCGTAATTTGACACTACGGTCATTACCTGGATTGTGTTAATAAAAGCAAGTAACCTATTTTAAGAAACTTTCAAATTTACTAAACAATGTACCGGCACTCCTCTCCTGTGTTTGAATATGCGAACAAACTTTCACCCTTTTAAACAAAAACAGTGGTAGCATCCCTCGTGATAAGAGAGTCGAATGTTGAAAATTTATTTCATTTATTTTCACTTATTTTCAGCTTGTCAGATCTGAGTACTCAAAAATCTCAAAGAAATCGAGAAAAACTCAAAGAAAGCAAATAAATCCAGGCCAAGAATTTTTTTCATTGATAAATAAGCAGGCACAAGAAATTTCAGTTGATACGAAAATGAAATCGGGTATTGGGAGAAAACTAAAACCGATTTAGAAAGAAAAGAAAATCAAAACAAAAAAAAAACATTTTTATCAGCAGAAAATGTACCGCAAAACTTTGCTGAACCGCTATATTTCACTTTCTGTTAATAAAGACTTTGGTTATGTGCAAAAGGTGATTAACCAATCGGAACGTCTAACGATTCTGATTGGTTGAAAGTTTTCCATCATGCGGTCCCTCCATCATGAGAATACCCCACAAAAACAGTATTTAATGTCGACAAGGCAGTTTTTCATCCTTAAGGTGAATGTTTTTGATAAATAAAACAGCTGTTCCAATTGAATTTTTTTTATTAGTGATATTTTTCTTTTTCCTGCACTCCATTGCCCATTTTAATCGATTAATTTTTGCTGACGGGGACTTTCTTGGGTAGATCCAACTTTGACACGCTAAGGCTAGTTTTTCGGAAATATTTTATGTCTGAACATCGCTATGGATATAGTTAACGATATCCACTTCTTGTTGTTTGCTTACAACTTTGACTTTAAACTTCAAGAATTCGCTTGCTCAACAATCTGTTAATAATCAATACTAATTAATATTTCAAAATATTTTGAAAAAATGACAAACCTGTTAGTTAAAATAAGTTAGCTTAAGACGATTCATCCACGCGCAAAAGGACAAATATACGAGCTGTTCAGTTCTTAACTGAAATCCACCATTAAGCTCCCAGTTAAGAATTACATGCATTTTTTTGGTTATTTTTTAAAACTAACAAACCTGGTAAATTGCGTCACAACGCGCTGTTGAAGCTTAAGGTCACAATGGATTAATACAAGCAAATAATAAACAAGAACAGCATTGTTTAGTTTAAACAAATGATAAACGTATTAGCTGACGCCTTTCGCTGGTAAAATGAAAGTCCAAAAAAGTATATACAACTGAAACTTAGCTGACGAATTAATACGCATAATTTTCTGCATCATACCATCAAAGTATAATTTCTTCGGTCACCAGAGAACTGAATTTTTAATTAAATTTAATTCAAGAACAAACTTGAAAAAGAAATTCAAATATCAGTCCAAGTCTACATGTGTCAAACTAGGCGCTTTGAAATGCCCTATTTCATTGGCCAAATCTTCAAACGTGACAGAATCCATGTCGGTTTTGTCGTTTTCGATCGCAATGTTCATCTGCTTAATGACCGCCTGTCTGCAAACTTCTGTTATTTCACTACCTGCAAAGAAACAGACTTTTATTATGAAGTTTCGAACTTTGTTTAGTAGCTCTAATCTATATTTCAAAAGGAATCTAAATTTTATTTGTATGGCTACGAAATGATATTTCATTATATGGGATGGGAAACCTGAAGTCGAAAAGTGATAACAGACTAGATGAAAAAAAAACTATCTTAAAAACAGTGTGAGGTTTTACGTAAGATATCACACATAGACTTGGGTGATACGGATATAGTTCATGGCTTCATGTCTAACTAACTTGAGTTCTGAAAACATTTAAGAGTCTCCCTATCACCTTCCATATTTATTTCTTCGCCTGTTAATGTATCCGGCTATTTCGTGAATGAGACATGGTCAAGGACAAATTGATATCACTTTATAATAGAACAACACAGAAGATAAACAGAAGAGTTTCCCAGCACTACTGGAACATAAATAAAAACAAAAATAGCCAGATGCTGTGCAAGCACAGAATGTTCCGATCACATTCATAAAACAACTACAAAAAAATGTTTTTTTTTTTAAATTTTGTTTCGTTGTTTTTGTGATGTATGCAATGTGCGTAGTGTGAATGAGAAAACTATTAAAGGCGTAAAACGCTAGTTAATTAGCTAAAATCTATGACACTTGTCTTCGTAAAAAGAATATCAGAAAATAGACTTCAGAAAATATTTCTTGCTGAAAATAATTAATTTTAAAAAAATTTTACAAAGAAGAATAAATGAAACTAATTTTTCCGTAACAAAACTAAATTAATCACAAATTAAATCAAAAATTTTAGTCTAATTTTGAGCAAGTAAAGGCCTACTCGCTCGAAATTAGACCAAAAATCAAAAATTTCAAACCGGTTTTTCTCGGCACTGGAACAACTTTTTGGAAATTGTGTATGGCATTCGAATCACAACTGAAAGGTCTTCAATCATTTTTACGCCCAGTCAGTCGTGAATTCAATGACATAACACAATTTCCACAAAGTTGTTCCAGGATCAAGAAAAGCCCGAACCACTCGAACCATTCCGATAATTATTTGCAGAAGAGCAGAAAGAAAAAACTTTATTCCAAAACTCGATATTCGTAGATTATTGTTCCGACTACATCCCTCAGGAGTGAAACTGTAGGTTCCGTTTCTTTTCCAGCCGACTTTAACTAGCTCGTATTTGATATCATATTTAAGCCTTTCAGTCGTGATTCGGTATGTTGCAAGTTTACTTTGAACTAACTATTAACTAGCACTCATTTTCCAAGTTTTTCATCGAAATCAATCGCCCCTTCTAAAAAAAATTACCAAAACTCTGAACAAACAAATCCAAATATATTTCAAAAAAAATGATTTTTTTTTGCCAAATCTGTTTGCTGCTTTAATTCTAACTCTAATTTGAAGTTTAATCGCATAGATTTTATCCGTTTTGATGGTGGCTGGTATTTGAAAGACATGTAGCCGGTAGGATGGAGTTAAAAAGAAAATGAAATCTCGTTGACAGTTAGTTTTTTAAGAGTCGAAGAACTCAGTACAAAATGGAACTTTAACTATGCAGGTTTCCCATACACAGACTGCGCAAATTGAACATTTTGCTGTTATCAATGATTGAGAAAAATAACGGTGTTTTGATGTTGAAAAAAATAATGTGAGCAAATACAACTTATCTCGGACGAACTATCTCAAACAAAATACAGCTTACTACGAAACCAGATGATCATCAAAACAAATACTTGAGCTGCTGGCCTACAAACTTGAAATTTGCAGAAACAATTTAGATTTCGAGCTCCCAGATATTTTTATAGTCTGAAGAAGCATTTACCTGTTCTACAGGCAATTGGACTCAAGCAAAGACTTCTGTCCTTTTATTGGACCCATTTTGAGGAATACTTCGATGTTAATAGACTCTTTACTTGGCGCTATGCGTTCGTATGTAGTGATTGTCGCGATTATGATCTGTAAATTTTTTCAACGGGGTTATTCACAGCGGCCTGCTGTAAACTCATAATAATAACGAAGATTAAACACGTGCGGGAAGAAAAAAAACACATGAGCCATACACAGATATTAAGTTATTCTTGCTGAGCACTAATTTAAGCCAGTTAGGTTGAAAAATCTGGACTCGATATCTAACACAATCGTATAAATAGTAAATTAAAAACTACAGTGCGCCTTGTGAATCGTATATTATAGCTTGCGGCAACTAAGTCGAACACACTTAAACAGACACCTCATTCATTTAGAAAAATAAATCCACAAAAAAACACAAAAATTAAATAAAAATGGAACTTTATTTAATGTAAGCAGCCAAACAGCGACTGGCAATGATTACAGGAAAAGCAACTCAATTTGCGAATTTTGCAAAAATTGAGCATGTCAGCAGCTGAACAGTGGAGAAAGATTACAAAAACTAATAATCAAGGAAGTGTTTGATATACAAGTTGTTTACAGGAAAAAAAAGCTTCGAAATATAAATTACAGGAAGTATATTCTGTCTTGAGGTGACATTCAGAAACATAAGGGACATTTTTTCCGGCTATAACCTAATTCTGATGAATATTAACTTGCTTACTCACCAGATAACCCTTCTGACTTTTCGCCCAATGCATCATAGTCTACATGTGCAGAAACTGCTTCCCCTTTGAGGACCTTCTTGAATATCTGACTCCTCTGAGACTGACTTGGCAAGGGCACGTAGAACTTGAGGGGCATGCGTCTCCGCACAGCGGGGTCTATGTCATTGGGTCGGTTGGTGGCGCCTATGATGATGATCTGAGTGTTGGTCTCAGTCGTGATTCCATCCCACAATGCCATGACCTCCGCCTTCAAAACCCACATATTATTGCAATCAGCAAAGAAGAGAACTTGTAACAAACTTCAACTAGGCCCATCTGAACAATCTCCCAGTGTGGGGAGATTGTTCAATTGGTCCTCTAAATTTTAACGAGCGTGCGAATGGTTAGCTAAGGAATGCGTTTTATGTCGGCCTTGGTTTAAAATCGCGACGCAAAGTTTGTATCCGAAGGTGAAGCAAAAAGGAGATCCTATGAATTGTAAAATTAGAACAACTCAGCATCTGCCACGAACAAGTCAAAGATTTGACCACCATCTGCTATCAGTTCACTAGTTCACGCAAGCTTTAAAAGTAATTATACACCTAGACAACAAATTAGCGATTTATAATTCGTCGCACAATCTGCGCTGCAAAAAAACAACATTTGCCACCTCTAACTCAAAGGATAAAATTCAAATGAAGAACCATTAGGGGCAAAAACACTTCGAGCGTAAGCGCAGCTGAGCAAGCGGTTGCTACTCGCTAATGCCGCGTTTTAAGTTAGTCTCAGGAGTTGCTAATTGTTTTGAGTCTGCCAAAAGATCGGTCTGCTATTATACCTAGCATCTTTCAGTTCATAGCCTAATAGCAGATCGTATTCAGCCGATTATAGTATGGAAAGTATACCATGCTTTGCCAAAATATAACAGTGTTCACTGCAGATCAACAGCTGGCTAACCTTAATCATTGCAGTAGCCTCATGATCTGATGAGTCTCTGTTTCTCAAGAAACTGTCGACTTCATCTATGAACACGACTGCTGGCTGCAGCTTCCTAGCCAGACTGAATATGGCAGCAGTGTACTTCTGGGACTCCCCGTACCACTTGTTCATCAGGAAGGACGTCTGCACGTTGATGAAGTGGAACCCTGATTGACTGGCGATACCACGTGCTATCATTGTCTTTCCACATCCTGCCAGCAAAAATTTAAATAACTAAGAAACGTTATATTTGGCGAATTAGCTGTCTGTATTTTTCCCTCATGAAAAATTAGAGGAAAACTTTAAGCGTCTGAAAGGGTAGCTAACGGATGTCTATTGATTTTAGATCTAAGTTTTTTTCCATAAAATAAAAACAAAACGTCATATCTCGGAAACGCAAGGCTATGAGCAATCATAATTAGATGCAAGATTTGCAACCCTTCAGCGCAACCTAACACAAACCTAGAATAGAGATGAGAGTTTCAAACTTGAAAATTGTTTTAAGTCCAAGTTTTCTTTAAAAAAATTTATTTATTTATTTAAATATTCATCATGAGTAATCAAATTATCATAACACAATATGCAAAAATTCAAAAATAACTCATGATAGGACAACCAGAACGAGAGGCTTGTTGAAGGTTGCCCTGTAAAGGAATCACATCATATGACATCAGATCAAAAGGTTCAATAATTAATTTAGGTCAAAGAGGCAAATTTAAAGCGAAAAAAAAAACGAGACTTAAATAGTGCAATCACTCTTTTTTTAAGTTGAGATCTTTATTCTTTAACATGAGAACCAGAGATATGATGCAAGCTTATACTTACAAGGGTATACAACTGACAGCGGGCGGATGCGAAAAAATGACAGCTAATTTAATCAGCGAGCAAGTGGGCCCAGTTCTTAAGAGCTGGTAATCCAGTTGTTCGCTTTTTTCTAACTCCCCTCCCTAGAGTCCACTGCCTGGTACCTTCGACGAGAGGTTATCAGGTCTAAGCGAGGACTCAGGGAAGTTAGAATGGATAAGTTCAAGTCTAGCGATATAATTCATCAATCAAATGACAATTTCCTATTATATATGAATCTAAGATTGAATGACAGAAATCATTTTTTGAATGATGGGTATCAAAGGAGGAAGGTATAGTTACACAACAATTGGCTAATATACTGATTAATTTGGCAACACGATGGGAAACAGAGTTATATTTAAGCTTACTTTTCATTGATGGTAAAATACGAGCACCCTTTACTGATGACCTCGTTGAATAAAAAATAGTTTCACATTTCTGAGACAATTCTTCATTAACTATTTTCTTTAGAATTTCATATACATGTAACTCGTATACAGAAGCAATTTTGCTTTTGGCCATTATTTCCGTTATCGAGTCACAATAACTTTTGCGAAAAGTTATACGAAAAAATCGTTTTAGTAGTTTATGAATAACATCTAATGCACTTTTGCAAACTGCTCCATAAACAAGAACTCCATATTGAACACAAGGTTGTACATAAGTTTTGTAGTACATGACCATTTGTGAAATGGTCATCACATTACGAAGCCGGTATGCAACTCCGCAGAAGCGGGTTAATTTTTTTCGTTTAATCTCAATATGATCTTTGAAGGATAGTTTATTATCCAATTCAATGCCAAGGTATTTGCAACTGGCAACGGGCTGTAAACAAGTGTCTGCGAAATAAATAGCATCAGCTTTGGATTTTGAAAAAATTAGTAGCTTAGACTTCGATCCTTTTACGGTAAGTTTATTAAACTTCATCCAATTATCTATTCGATTTAGATCCTATTGAAAGTCATCAAGGGAAGCCTTTTTGTTTTTAATAGCAGATGTATCGTCAGCAAACAAAGTAAGTCGGCAATTTCTTACAATTCTGGGAAGGTTATTGATATAGATCAAAAAGAGCAACGGTCCTAAGACTGAACCCTGTGGCACCCCGCACAAAACATCTTTCAATTCGCTTTTAAATTGATTTAGGACAACATACTGTTTCCTATTAGACAAGTAACTTCTTAGAATTTCCAGCGACTTTTCTCTTACTCCATACCGCTCTAATTTACCAATTAAGATCGCATGATTGACAGCGTCAAAAGCTTTTTTCAGATCTAATAAAACTAACATAACGTCGTTATTCTTCTGATCTCTCAGGTTACGAACCTCTTCTGTTAGATCTAGAACCGCTTTAACTGTGCTTAATTTACTACGGAAGCCATATTGATTTGTACTGAGCAACTTGCAATTTTCCAAATAACTACTTAATCTGAAATGAATTGTCTTCTCAAAGATTTTTGACAGCGTTGATAACAAAGATATGGGTCGATAATTTCCATATTCGTCCTGCAATCCACCTTTATGAATCGGAAAAACTTTAGCAATTTTTAAGTATTTCGGATAGCACCCATTTGTGTAGCAGGTATTGAAAAAGTTCGTGAGCCATGGCGTGATTATTGGTTTACACAATTTGACTATTGCTGTATTGATGCAATCACAACCCGAGCTGAGTTTATTTGGTAATTCTGTTATTATTTGTTATTTCTGTTTCCTTTATACTCGGAAAGAACATTGAATAATCAACATTTTCTAATGAAATAGGATCTGCAACTCCAATTTTATCACTTAGATTTGGACCAATATTTACAAAAAATATTTGCTTTTTTTTTTCATTTATATCATCTGGCAATGTTACATTTTTATGTTTTCCAAGATATGCTGCAACCGCTTTGTGATACTTATGAGAGTCTGTTGTATTTAGCTTAGATCTCCAGAATCTTCTGAATGATTTCCGATTCAGGGCATTGGATTTGTTTCGTAAGGAGTTATATTTGATCTTGTTATCTTCTGTAGGGTTTTGTATATATGTCCTGTATGCGAATGCTTTTTTATTTTCTACTTTTTTCACTTCATTTGTCACCCAGGACTTGTTGTTTTTCGGCACATAACGAGTTTGAGAGGGAGCAAACCTATCAATGCAACTGAGAATTATTTCAGAGAAATTTTCAGCAGATTTATCCAAATCGGATAAGGTACCATCAACTTCCTTCAATTTGGACTGTAAGAGGAAAGCAAACCTTAACCATGTATCATCATTTTCAAAAACTTTCATATTTCTAAAGCTAAATGTTTCTTTATATCTACTAACCAATTTTGGCACAGAGATAGAAACTTCAATCATGAAATGATCGACTGGACCCCAGCGGTGTATGCAACTATTGTTAATTCCAATATTTCCCCAAATATGATCGATACAAGAGTTTGTTTTTGAAGTTACTCGTGTCGGTAACAGAGGTGACAACAAATGATAACCGAAAGAACTGAACATTTCAGTAAGATCATCTCTTGCCTTGTGTTTTTTCATCATATCAATATTAAAGTCTCCCATAATCACATGTCTCTTTTTCGACTTGGCTTCGGTTAAGACCTTTTCTAGTTTGTGGACAATATACTCGACCCTCATTGACGGTTGACGATATAAAACAGTTACAGTCGTTGCCGTTTTATCACCTGCTACAACCTCTCTTTTTAAAATTTCTCCTTCAGACACCTCCACTAACTGACTTGTATTAAGCTCCGTTCGTATATATAAACCTACTCCACCTCCTCTGCTCAGCCGAGGGCTCGAGAAAAACTTGTATCCTTGCAAATTGAACAACTCGGCTGAATCATTAGGGTTCAGCCAAGTTTCAGTGACAGCGATAACAGCTGGGGCTATTGCAAGTTGCTCAAGACTTACTTTAAAGGCTTCAAAATTAGATTTAAGTGATCGCATGTTAACATTTAGTAATGAAACAGCCTCAAGAACTTGGGTAAATGACGATGGGGACATAAAATGAAATAAAAAAATTTAGATTGAATAAAAGTCCCTAGTGAGGCTGTCTTGTCTTAAATACTTAACCACTGTCTTCTACAGTAAACACACTTGAAGTATTGCTAACATTAGAATGAAGCTCAGTTTGAGGAGATTGTTTTGCTAAGTTATCAACACACTGCACAATTTTTTCAGGTTCATTTCTGTGCTTTTTAACATAATCAAGGATTTGCTGATCCGACCCGGGACTTGGCGGAGACACTCGTTTTGGCGTTGTCGTGTTGACATTTAGCCTCATCGTTGCATCTTGATTTCCTAATTGAAAAATTGATTTTCTCTTCTTTGCTAAAATTTGCGCTTTTCCAGAAGCAAGCAACGTTTCAGCATCAACCGAGTCTGCAACATTATGAGTGAACACCTTCCCGTTCTTACGCTTTATAAAGACTTGCGGTGCGCAGTTGTTCGTTGTTGTTTTCAAATTAAGGCCTTTCATATAGTCGAGTAAATCCGAATCTCTCTTAGTCTCTCAAAAAGCTATACAGGTTTTTTATTGATCTGATTGAGATAATGTCGTAAAAAATGCTTCCTTGCCCAGATACCGTCTTTGACATCAAAATAGACAAATTTCACAATAATGGCTGGGGGGTTTTTGATGTCGCGAATTGGGCCTAGAGGTTGACACGCTACCATGGAATCACGAGGCACAGAGATGTCAATTGCTTCACGAAAGAATGCGATTACATCTTCTACATAATCAGAGCCATGTCGCAGAGGTAAATTGTTTATAATGATACAATCTTTTGAGGAATAGCGCTCCAGATCATTTACTTTTTTCTTCAGAAAAATAAATTCATTTTTCATGTTTGCAATGGCGACGCTTTGAGTTTAATCATGGGATAAAAGACTGGTTGATATTTTCTTTGATAATGTTCAACATCATGACAGCTCCCAGTAAGGTGTAAGAGTTATCTCATTGTACAGTCCAAATCTGAATTTATTTAATAAGTTTATCACAACAATTAGGCTTGAATAAAACCTCATAAAATCATCATATCTCGTAAGCGCAAAAATGATTTGCGCATTCATATTGAGAGGCCAAATTTGCAGCCTCTAGTAGAACCCTGAAGAACCCAGCCATAGGGTTGCTGATTTTAAATTTTGCAAAATTAATACTGAAATGAAAAACTGAGGACGTTAGCGTGAAGAATAGAGAAAAACGCGCTCTAACAGATGTATGGTAAAAATATAAGATGACATTGAAAATCTTTCAAACAATAAAATGAATAGAAAAAATTTCAAAAACATGCCAACACTCACCGGTCCCAAACTTGATTCTCATAAAATAGTATACCATGACGACGACAAACATTGATATCAAAACCTTACTCCACACAA